GGGGGGGGGGGGGGGGGGGGTAGGATACAGCCGCCTGGGCTCTCGAACGAAGAAAAAAGGCACCAGAAGTCATTTGAGCTCGGCTTCCTACGCCTCCCTGCCCCCAAGCAACAGATGAGTACGCCCCCCCCCCCCCCCCCCCCCCCCCCCCCCCCCCCCCCCCCCCCCCCCCCCCCCCCCCCCCCCCCNATTAGAGGCCCGCAGCGCGGCCGAGCGAGACCGCTGGGTTTCCGCTCTTGGGGAGGCGGTCCGCCGGCTCCGCGCACCCTGCCTGGAACACGAGGTCGAGGAGGAACGCTTGCGCCGGAGAGAGGAGGCCGATACCGCGGCAAGACGCCTCCGGAACGCCCGGAAGAGGCAAGAGAACGAAGGGTTTCGGGCCAGGATGGCCGAGAAGTACGGACTGGATATTGAGAAGTACACCTCCTCTTCCCGCTCCGGCGGCGGCGGTGGTGCTGGCGGTATCGATGGCGGCGGTGGTGCTTCTGCCATCGCCGGGAGAATACGGCCGTCGGCACCGCAGCAGCTGCAACAGCGGCAGAAATCGCGGCCGGCAGGGAGCGACGGCGGTAGGAGGGGTTTTGTGGGGATTGAAGGCGGCGGCGGCGACGGCGGCGGCGGTGGGGTAGGCAGGGTGATTGGAGAGGTTGCGAGATTTCAGGCGTTGGCAGGATTGGTTCAATAGATGCTGAAGAGTGTGGTGCGTTTTCGCCCAAAGTGTGGGTTGGTTTGTGCTGTGGCGGGATATTTAGCTTGATGTTCTGTACATTCTGATTCGGTAACAAATGATCCCCTGTGAAATAAGACCACCCGCACCTGATTCTTGAAACAAGGGTTTTTCGTGTCTACGGGATCGCTGGAATTGTTGCTTGTGTGTTTAATCTCTCTGTCTTGTCAATCAAGTTTCTCTCGATTGTTTACGACGTTTGTTTTTCGTCTCAAATCGCTGTTGTTGGAGCCGGCTTAAGCCCGCGAAAATAGATACACACCATGTTCTTGCTTCGTAGCGTTCAAGTGCGCTCCATCTCTTGTACCACATGGAAAATCGTCAGATTTTCCCGAGGCTGTTGGCGTTGTGCGACGGCAACGCAAAAGCCAATTCTTCCGCGCCTTCCACACGATACCGGTCGCCCCGGTGGTCTAGTGGTATCCTCGTAATCCGCTAGACGCAGAGGTCGTGAGTTCGAATCCCCATGGGGTGAAAAATGTACGAAATATGCGGGTGGAGGCGAAATATATCTGACAAGCTCTCGTGAGTACCTAACTTCGACGTTAGCACCGTTGACGAGGGAACGGAACGGCTGGACCCTTCTCGCGATAAAAATAAAAATCCAGCACGCACCGCAGGAGGAAGGTGGGGCATGAAAAGAAACAAAAAAGAAGAAAAAGCCCTGGTGTTTACCCCCTCCTGTGCGACCCTGGATGGTTGTAGTTGTACGAAAAAATACACTGAAAAGTGTAGTACACGTCTCACCACGAAAAATGGGGAGATCGTCGCCATAATAAATAGGACGAAAACACACACACACAAAGACTACAGGCTAGGTTTTGCAAGGGGATTATTAATTGCGATGACAAATCAATCGTCAGCAGATAGCACCAGAACACGGGGTTGACATTTTGCGCTACAGAATTAGCTATTAGCTTGACAGGAAAGCCTTTGCCAGGATGATTAGAGTGAAGATATCGGGGGGGGGGGGGGGGGGGT